ACTGAGTACTCCGAATCACTTCCAGCGATTTTTCTGAAAAGCCGTAGTTCAGATGTTATCGTTAATAAGACATAGTAAAACGTGCATTTCAATAATGCATTGCAATTAGGGGCTCATAACTCGAAGACAAAACTTTTTATCCAAAATGACGGCATGGGATTGAAGCCCATACACTTGCTGTCATCTATGCTAATTTTCGTGATAAGATCTCGTTTAGGTGTAAAGTTATGCTTCAAACCTATGGCCAACTCGCATCAAAATAACAGATGTTAAACAGACGATAAAAGCTTTGAGTTGCCTACATGTTGTATGCTTATACACAGCAACGAGAAATATAAACTCTGACATTTTATGTTTTCGTGGGGATTTTATTGTTTTTAATCAGCACAAAGGTAGATACATTAATGAATAATTAGATGCAGAAAAAAGACGCATTTTCCGCAGTTGGATTATCATAGACACTTACAGTACCCTTGAATGTTTTTTATCCTTCGCGATCGATTGCTATTTATTGAGAAGAAACATTTTGATAACGACCAACACCAAACGTTGTTGCCCGGTAGATGTCGGCATTCAAACAATTTTTTTTCGAATATCAGACCTCGGACTTCTAGAGTTACGGCGAACAAGAAAATGCATCAGCCACAACACAAAGCACCTGATTTTATTATCCATATTTGAGATCAACTATTTAATGTAAACACAACTGAACTGATCTTTCTGTTCCAAGATAATGAGCCTAGGTCAAAACGCAACGCACGTCAATGTAAACCGAAAGCATCTTGAAAAGCAAGCATCTATAAAAAATTAGTGTAGATAAACGGTTTTCTTGAAAGTGCATGACTTCGTTTCAAGAGAACCGCTATGGCGATGTCAACTTTTGAAATTCAGTTCGGTTTCGTAGACCATTGATCATATATCTTGATCTTAGTATCATTGGGTAACTTTGTTTGAGCCGAGCGATTAATTAAAATAACTGAAGATACGACTGCTTCTCTGATATAAAGTGGAGAGAGAGAGAGAGAGAGAGAGAGAGATGGCGGATAAACGGAGGGATACAGGTAACAGGTTCTCAAATTGAATGGAGGGGACAGAAGAAAGAACACAGGCGAAGGATTATCTTAGAAGTAATGGGCAGTGTTTTAAGAAACCAATTTAAGAAATGGCAATTGGTGAAGGTACATGTATCTCTCATATAGGGTCTGGGCTATTGCTGAAATGATCGCAAAAGACGAAGAGATGGCGACCCCTCCCACCTGCAGTTAGTGGGATAAAGCAGATAGCGAATGCAGATAAAGGGTTGTGTTCACTAATACGATTAAAAGAGTATGTGCAATAGTCCAAGAAATTGGTGCAGAAAAAAGGGTGAATTGTGCGTTTTTTACCTACAAGCATGAAATTTGCCACAGTTGTAGATAATGGAATTCTAAGCTTTTTTGGATATATGGGCATGTCTGAAAATTCCAGTATGGCCGTCAAATCCAATATGGCCGCCACAAATACTCTTTTAAATTAAAACATCTAATATATTGTAACAAAGGGGGTCACAGGAGCCACGAATCTGCTATTTAAAATCATTAGAAACAATGTAAACATGTGCTGCACGATCGTCTGCTATGANCACAAACCTGCCAAATTTTATGCTTGTAGTTTTAAGTGCTTGATGAATTCCCCATTCAAATGGATATCTTGAATAAATGGTCTGCTTTTTTTACTTTTGGATGCCATTTTGGATTTAATACACCTAATGGATTCATACCATGGTGTTTTCTAACCTTTATATGATATTTTAAGTCATTAGAAGACTATGTACTTGAAGTTTTAATTTGAAAAGGTATTTTGGTGGCCATATTGGATTTGACGGCCATTTTGGAATTTTCAGACATGCCCATATATCCAAATTTGCTTAGAATTTTATTGTCCATAAGTGTGCCAAATTTAATGCTTGTAGGTAAAAAATGCACAATTTTTCACCAATTTCCTGGACTACAAAGACATACGTACAACAGGCCTGCGGCCAGGGGGGGTAAACATTTATTTAGGTACTGTACAGCGAGCTTCCATAGTAAAAAGTCCATTTTATTTTTCAGAAAAAGAACCCCCTTTTGAAATTGCTGGGTACGGGCCTGTGCAAAGACATACATTTTGGTTTACAAAGACATACTGTAGAGTAAGTCCACTGGGGAACCTACTTGTACAGACGTGCAAGGCACTCGTACTCTCCCTTGTAAGCCTGTCATTACGGTGGTTTGTACGCGTAACTGGTGTGCAATCAATTACAGTTAAGCTTTTCATCCTTTTTTATTATTCCACTCAACATGATTGCATACTCTACAAAAGATTTTCAACAAAAATTTAATGATGAACAAAATCTGGAGATTTTTTTAAAGAATATTAAGGCTATCACAATAATGATGAACAGAAACTGAAGGTTGTTGCAAAAACAGCACCGTGACGTGTAGGTGGATTGGCACATAAAACTTAAACCCATTCCTCATTGCAAGTGATATTCAAATCCTTCAAACTTAGTGCTACTGCTAAAATTCCTCATTTGAAAATAGATATGAGATAAGACGCGCTGTTTCAAAGGCACGTTGCAATTGCAGTGAAGATTACAAATCCAATAGCAGATCGCTAGCAGATATAGCTGATAATTATTTTGTTCCATCATCTAGTAGTTCATGCATTATCAATTAGCAAGAGTTTAGTCGTAATGTTTTTCTCTTTTTAGAGGCGTTTATCCAAATTTGTTCTTCCATAGATTGTGAAAGTTTTCGACATCTGATTGGTCTTTCTATTCGTTGTTCAGGCCTAGCTTACCAATGGTAACGTGTCTTATAACGTGGAGTTGGTGTACGACGGTGTGTGTTTGGGCGGTCAAGAAAGATGTGCTACTCCATCCGCTTTCTTCGTAATCAGGAGGCGAGTCATCGGAGTCCTCATCATCGCCGCTCAGGCATCCGTAACAGCAGCAACAGCAGCAGCAAAGGGTAGCCAGACCACCGAAGACAATGAGGGTGATCGCAGCAGCTTCGTTGACAACACCTTGGCACGCCTGCAAAAGAAACATAAATATACAAAGTGTGCATGTGGGGATAAGGTTTTCAGAATTTAATGTTATAGCTTTACATTGCTAAAAGAGTAATTTTCTGGGAAATTGTAGGAATTTTCCAAGGTACATATGTACACCTATCCAATAATAATATTAAAATCTATAAACCTTTTGACTTTTAATATCTATAAACTTTAATATTTATTGTCACGGAAATTCGACAATCTTCATATAAGTTATAAAATTGGCCTAAAATGGAAAATTGGACGTACAAAGTCGATTTTTAGATCGCAATTTGTGAACGGTTTGGTCACAGAATGCTTACTGCTGCATGTATAAATGTATCACAGCATACACATCAGCTATTCAAAATAAACTGAAAGCGACTTTTTAAAGAGTGACATCACCAGTGAAAAACACTTCAGGTATCGTTCAAGGTTCGTTTGGTTCAGGCAATCTGAACCGGAATCGCCAAATATGTTGAATTTTGATGCGTACTTCAGCTCATACGTGCAATGTTCTAGACATTTAAAATTTTCTCCAATTTATCTTTTTTTTAGGAGAAATATGGTGCTGGGCGACACTGTACCTTGTTCTCCAGGCGTTTCTCGGCATCCAGACACAGTATTCCGAATGTCAGACCGCAGACTGCCAGACCTACGACTGACAGCAACAAACAGCAGGTACAACACAAAGCACCTGTATTTTCACCCATGTTTGAAATCAACTATTCACCGTGAACACACAAGAACTTATCTATTTGTTCCAGGAAAATGGGCCAAGGACAAATCGCAAAGCACGCCAATGTATATGTAAACCGAAAGTAGCTTGAAATGCACACAATGGACAAAAGAAGTCAAGTGTCACCCCGTGAATCAGAGTAACCAAATAATAATCAAGTAATCAATAATCAAAGTAGGCAGATCTTGAGTAGTTATAATATCTGGCATAAATTTCGTGTTTTTTTAATGTTAATAAAATGATACCAGGAGCATATCATTCCACAGTCATTTATCTCCCCCAAATATTGGTTCAGTAGGGGTGACACTTCCATTGTCCATTGTGTGTTGAACAAACAATTAGTTCAGATTTAGGGCAGGGGCGGATCCAGAGATATGGAAGCTTTCCAAATTATCTTTGTTGATACATCCTCCATTTTTGACCGTCTTCCAAAAAAAAAAAAAAAAAAAACTTAAAACTTGAAAATCTGAACGTCTTCCAGAAGACAGCCTCTGAACGGTTGTTCAAAAGGCATGGTGCAGACTCTAGAGACTACTATAGTGACGTCATTTTATAATCTATGTTACTCAAATGCATAAGTATTTTTAACTGTTGGCATAATGTGAAAAATTGCCAAATCAAAAATGCGTATACTGTATAAGGCTTAGAAATGGAGTCATTAAAACAAAAAAGCTATTATGCCATTAAATGTCTACATGCACATGACGCAGGTAGTTGAAGGGCTCATTCCCAATGAAAGCAGCGATCTGCGTAGATCGACCCAACTCCGAGGGGACTCACTGAATGCAATCAAATTAGCAGACTTACCAGTACAAGCCTCCCGTTGTTTTCAACGTATAAAATGCACCTTTTCTGTAATCTACTCATCGACAAGAAGTTGCTTCTTAATACGATTGAATTTAGCAAGAGTTTCATCGAGAACAGCTGAATTTGATAATACGCCTAGCTTCTTCAGGCCGTTATGAATACGACATCATTTCAGTGCATACACTCCATCTATACATAATTCATTGACCTCATGTCATGCGACACCCCCACCCCCAGGTATGATAATCAAACTTTTTATTGTGCCCTTATGTGTCTCTTATATATCAGTCATGACACCTTTTCGAAGGCATGCTAAACAAACCCTTTCAACAAAGGGTATGCGTAACGCAAAAAAGGGGACTAAGACATCGCCGCGTATTTGTCTCGTTTTCAGCCTCCCGTCCACACCATCAACAAGCGGAACTTCCCGATAAACGAGATTCCTCTCCGGGAAGTGAAAGCCACTAACAAAGATGTCAGAGGAGAGATGTCCCGAATGCTGCGGCTGGTGCATGTGTCTGATCGTCCTAGCCGTGGGGGTGTGTGGGTGGACGTTCGGCATAGGGTGTCTACAGGACGACGACAGGGCCACCCGGGGGGTAATATATATGTGTGTGAGTGTGTGTGTGTGTGTGTGTTTGTTGATAACGCTTAAAAAGTACCGTGTCCCACTTAGGTTATTCCGTAGTCTCACAACAAAATGATAACTGCATAAGACCTACTAGTAAGTCTCACGAAGTACAATAACCATACTGCAAAAGAGGATCATTCTTTGCATGTTCTTCTTACGGTTGGTTAAAATCCAGGTAACCCTCGTTCAGGAGCGTAGGAGACAAATTTTAAGTGCGTGCCTGTGTTTCCGCCCCCCCCCCCCCGCACACACGTCAGTTTTAACAAAATATCCCAAGAAAGCTCTGCCTGTGTGTTGTATTGCATCAGTCCTGTTATGTGAGACGTGTGAGTTATGTCCCTTTGATAGACCGCTTTACTTTATGCCGTAAACACTAAGCAGGATTATAAGTGACCTAAGTATACCGCTCGATCGCTTTATTAAAGCTGTGGACCTAGTTTTAATGGCACCACTTGACAATAGAAATACAAATGCGACAAGTCTGTAATAATGCAACGGTTTTACCAGAATAATGATATTCGAGTTTACTTTACTTTTACAGCTGTGCCTCTTCTGCCCTTCAAAAGCTTATTTTATTCCCTGTAAAATTCTGCAGGGATTAAAGATGATTCCTATTTTGTGCAACCCACTATTGAAACGGTGCCCAGACAGCCATCAACACACTGTTAACAGCTCGAAATAAAAATCCCAGTGTGTATATACAAAATGATTCATATGTAAATGATCTCTTCCTTTTTACAGTACTGTTCAGGAGTTGTCAGCAGAGGCGCAGCCATAACTCTGATCATTTTCGGAACCATCGCCATGGCCCTCATTTTGTGCTGTTGCTGTATCGGCTGCTGCACGAAAGATGGCGCTCTAGACACCCGAGACCCCATCCGGGACCCTCCTCCTTACCAAGAAAGCAACCTTGCTTTCTGGACAGAACCATCTCGTATACTTATAAGGGACATTAGAAACGTTCGGCAAGTAGCTGTTGTGAGGCTTGGATACTCGGAAATTTGATTTCCACAGTTAAACATGCTCAAGAACTGGTAATTCTTTAAAAAATTGATGGGAGCTTAATTTAGGCTTCGGAATGTAAATGCACTGTACATTTTGATAAAAACTATTGGACACGACTGGGAAAAACGGGAGACTGAAAGAAATGTTTTCGTGAGAAAGAGAACATTTATAAATCAATGTCGAAATCACTGACAGTTTACAGTTTTGTTATGTCATATTAACAAAGATTGTGAGATGAGAAAAGACTGAAAGACTGAAAGTGATTTTTAAAAGCTTTACTTCACCCATTCTGAAATGCATAAGTTGAGACGGATCTACAGTATGAGCTATCAGTTCGTTCCGTCGTCTCTACCGCATTCAAAACCGGCCGAGTGTTCGGCGACGCAATGCACTTTAATAATAATAATGATAATAATAATAATAATAAATTCGAGGAACACTTCTAACAGGTTGATTGGTCATAGTAATTTATAAGACTGTTACACAGCAAATCTATTATTTTTATTGCAGTTGGCTTTTAATCTATCGGATCAATAAAGATGCATATTAAAAGATTAAAAAGTGTCATATTGTTGATGGGCAAACAATGTTCAAGTCTATGTCAAGAAAAGCTTGAGGTACAATATGTTTGTTATCGCATTATTTCAAACATTTTTGACCTCTCGTGTTGAAGGGTTGAAATATAATTGATGTTGCCAAAAAGAAATAACATCTGTTAGTTTATCGATCAAGTCAAAACAAGGAAACTCTGGGCTCATGTGCTTAAAAGCAGGAGATTTTAATTAAATGACAAATACCATGTGACATAAATTGAAATTCCAATTATACGAACACATACAAAGACGGGAAGGGCTTGAATTAAGGGGCGAATTTGTTACTCAAGTAATAAATAGCGCATTATTCTCCAAGGTTGTAAAATAACGCGACTTCGACCTCAATATCATTTAAAGGTATATGTAATTCGTTGAGGATATAGATAAACAACCTTAAGTCGAATGTTCATTTTTGTATTGTGAAATGCTGACAGGTTTTTGTTTAAAATACCTTTCATCCATTTAACACATGAGTTCATGTTACTGTGTATTATTGGACCGATTTTAAAGAAAAACAAACCACCGACTCCTTAACAAAAATAAACAATATTTATTTTATATTGTTATTAAAAAAAGACTGTTAGACGGTACTATCCTTTGTCATGAAAATTAAAATATTTAGTCAACGCAATCAAAGAAATCTTTATCGAGCCGCCAATTAATGTACAGAATGAATGAATGTACAAACATAAATATTAATAATAAATTTTAATTCAAACGATTTGACTCAATTAATTCGATGACGCATTCCATACAATCCGACAAAATCAAACTAGTTCGGGTCAGTTTAACGAACATCATCAGGCTCCAGTCCAGCAGCAAACCACCTCAGCACTTTCCATGCGTACGGACTGGGGTGGTCTAATTTTTGACACTTGATAACTTCGATAATATGCTACATAATTACTTCAACTTTTATTTTTTAAAACAGCCCGCTGTGATGTAGAGAAACAGAACCTTGTATGATCACTTTAATTTCAACTTCAATAAAGTTTAAAAGAAAAAATATTCGTAAACACATTTCATGCCTTAAGTATTCCTTACACACATGTAGTATTTCACCGGGATTTGTAATGAATCCATTGTCTTATTATAAAGGAATGAATTTTCACATGAAACACATTTACATGTAGATAAATTTGTGCACAGACAATCACGTGATGAGAAAGACCAATATCTGAGTTGTTCTTCGGTACATTTCCTCCCTGGGATAGAGGTAAAGATTTGTTTCACCAACGTTACGACATTTACTACATTCTTGCCGTACGTAAATTGAAAAGTGATATTCAAATCCTTCAAAATTAGTGCTACTGCTAAAATTCCTGATTTGAAAAAAAGATACGAGACGCTCTGCTTCAAAGGCGCGTTGCAACAGAAGTAAAGATTACAAGTTCAATAGCAAATCTGGTTATTATTTTGTTCCAACTTCTTGTAGTTCATGCATTACCAATTAGCAAATAACATAATGTTATTATCTTTTTAGACGCGTTTATCCATATTTGGTGTTTCATAGACAGTGACAGATTTCCGTCTTCTGATTGGTCTTGCTATTGTACATGTATGTCTATGCCTAGCTTACCAAGCGTAGCGTCTCTTAAGTGACGCATTTGGCGTTGGAAGGCGTGTGTTTGAGCGGTCAAGAAGGCTGTGCTACTCCATCCGCTTTCTTCGTAATCAGGAGGCGAGTCCACGGAGTCCTCATCATCTCTCCTCAGACATGCACAACAGCAGCAAAAGCAACAGCAAACGGTGGCAAGACCACCGAAGACATTGAGAGTGATCGCAGCAGCGTAGTTGACAACACCTTGACACACCTGTAAAAGCGACATACCTGTAAATATACAAAGTGTGCTTGTGGGGATAAAGTTACTAGAGTTTAATGCGTGTTAAATAGCTTTACATAGTTAAAATAGTATTTTTTTGAGAAATTTTAGCAATTTTCCAAGGTACATATGTATACCTATTTAATAACAATATTACAAAATATAAATCTTTTTAACTTTTAATATCTATAAACTTTAATATTTACTGTCACGAAAATTCGCCAATCTTCATTTAAGTTACAAGATTGGCCTAAAATGAAAAATCGGACCTATTAAGTCGATTTTTAGATCGTAATTTGTGAACGGTTTGGTCACAGAATACTTACTACTGCATATATACATGTATCATAACATATATATTAGCTGTTCACATTTCTTGAAGACTGAAAGCGGCTATTTAAAGAGTGAAATCACCAATGAAAAGCACCTCAGGTATCGTTCAAGGATTGTTTAGTTCCGGCAATCTGAACCGAAATCGCCAAATACGTTGAATTTTGATGCGTCCTGCAGCTCATTTGGGCAGTGTTCTCGACATTGATCTAATTATTATTATTTTTTAGAAGAAATGTGATGCTGACCAATACTGTACCTTTTTCTCAGGGCGTATATCGGCATCCAGACAAAGTTTTCCGAATGTCAGACCGCAGACTGCTAGAGCTACGACTGCCAGCCAAATACAGCATCCACAAAATGCAACTGCCTTATCACCCATGTTTGAAACCAACTATTCGAAGTGAACACACTTGAATTCATCTATCTGTTTCAGGAAAATGGCCCTAGGACAAAACGTAACGCATGGTAATGTACATGTTAACCGGAAGCAGTAAACAATTAGTTTAAATTTACGACAGGGCTTATCCAGAGATATGGCAGAGATATGGAAGTTTTCCAAATTATCTTTGTTGATCTATCCTCCATTTTTGACCGACTTCCGAGAGAAAAAAATAGATACCCGTCAATGTTAACTTGGAAATCTGACCGTCTTCAGGAAGACCCGGAAGACGGCCTCAATCCGGCCCTGAACGGTTGTTCAAAAGGCATATGGTACAGACTTTAGAGAACAACTATAGTGACGTCATTTTATAATCTAGGTTACTCACATGCATAAATATTTGTAACTGTTGGCATAATGAGAAAAAAATGCCAAATCAAAAATGCGTTTACTGTATTGGCCATTAATGGAGCCATTAAATGTCTACATGCACATGACACAGGTAGTTGAAGGGCTCATTCCCAATGAAAACATAGTTCTACATAGATCGACCCAACTCCGAGGGGACTCACTGAATGCAATCAAATTAGCAGACTTACCAGTACAAGCCTCCCGGTGTTTTCAACGTATAATCAGCAGCTTTTCTGTAATCTACTCATCTACAAGAAGTTGCTTCTAAATACGATTGAATTTAACAAGATTTTCATGGAGAACAGCTGAAATTGATAATACGCCTAGCTTCTTCAGGCCGTTAAGAATGTGACATCATTTAAGTCGATAGTGCTTATACTCCGTCTATACATAATTCATTGGCCTGGGGTTATGCAACAACCTCAGTATGATAATTAAACTTTTTTCCGTGTCCTTATCTGTCAGTTATATACCTGTCATGACCCATTTCTGAGGGCATGCTTAACAAACCCGGATCAACATTTCAAAGAAAGAGCATGCGGAACGCATAAAAAAAGGACTGAGCCATCGCTATGTATTTGTCTCGTTTTCAGCCTCCCGTCCATACTATAAAGAAGGAAGTGAAAGCCCCTAACAAAGATGTCAGAGGAGAGATGTCCCCATTGCTGCAGCTGCTTCACGTGTCTGGTCGTCCTAGCCGTGGGGGTGTGTGGGTGGACGTTCGGCATAGGGTGCCTGCAGGACGACGACAGGGCCACCCGGGGGGTAATGTTTGTTTATATGTGTGTGTTTGTTGATAACGTAAAAAGTACCGTATCCCAGTTAGGTTAGGCCCTGTTTCGTAGTTTCACAGCCAAATCATAACTGCATAAGACCTACGTCTCACGAAGTACATGTACCATACTGAAAACCATACTGAAAAAGAGGAGCATTCTCTTCGTCTTCTTCTTACAAGTGGTTAAGCCAGGTGATCCTCGTACAGGAGCGTAGGAGGCAAATTCTTAGTGCGTGTCAGTGCGTGCGTGCGTGTGTTTGCGCCCCTCCCACACGTTAGTCTTATCAAAATGCCCCAAGAAAGCTCTGCATTTTTACCTGTGTGTTGTATTGCATCAGTCATGATATTTGTAAAGTGTATGAGTAGTGTCCCTTTGAGAGACCGCTTTACTTTATTCTGTAAACACCAAGCAGGATTATAAGTGGCCTAACTACATGTATACAGCTCGATCTCTTTATTAAAGGGTTCACCTAGTTTTTGATGGCACCACTTGACAATAGAATTACAGATGCGACAAGTCTGTAATTATGCAACCAGAATAATGATATTCGAATTTACTTTAGTTTTACAGCTGTGCCTCTTCTGTCCTTCAAAAGGTTATTTTATTTCCTGTAAAAACTGCAGAGATTAAAGCTGATACCCAAACTGTGCAACACACTATTAAATCGGTGTATGGACAGCCATTAACTCGATATTAACAGCTCAAAATAAAAATCCTGGTGTAAAAATACAAACTGATACATATATAAATGATCTCTTTCTTTTTACAGTACTGTTCAGGAGTTGTCAGCAGAGGGGCAGCCATCACACTTATCATTATGGGAACCATCGCCATGGCCCTCATTTTGTGCTGTTGCTGTATCGGCTGCTGCACGAAAGATGGCGCTCTAGACACCCGAGACCCCATCCGGGACCCTCCTCCTTACCAAGAAAGCAACCTTGCTTTCTGGACAGAACCATCTCGCATACTTATAAGGGACATTAGAAACGTTCGCCAAGTAGCTGTTGTGAGGCTTGGATACTCGGAAATTTGATTTCCACAGTTAAACTTGCTCAAGAACTGGTAGATCTTTTAAAAATTGATGGCTGAGTATGCATCTTAATGATGCCAATTTTTGTGCTTTGAGCACATGCAAAACGTTGACAAAATATTTTGTTTTGTCAGAAAAATAATGTCTGTGATTTGCAGTTTTTTTACATTATTTTTACAACAATTAACGGCGCTTTGATGAGTGCCAGTGAACTTTTTTATGTTGATACGACGATCAAATTGAACTTCATGTATTCGAATACTGCATTTCAATTTTAATTCCAACATAAAGCTTAATTTGGGCTTCGGAATGTAAATGCACTGTACATTTTGATAAAAATATTGGACACGACTGGGAAAAAAGGGAGACTGAAAGAAATGTTTTTGTGAGAAAGAGAACATTTAGAAATCAATGTCGAAATCATTGACAGTTTATAGTGTTGTTATGTCATGTTAACAAAGATTGTGAGATGAGAAAAGACTGAAGTTTAAGAAAAGTGATTTTTAAAAACTTTACCTCCCACATTCTGAAATGCATAAGTTGAGACGGATCTATGAGCTAGCAGTTCGTTCCGTCTTCTCTACCGCATTCAAAACCTGGTGCAATGCACTATACTTTAATAATAATAATAATAATAATAATAATGCATTCAAGGAACACTTCTAACAGGTTGATTGGTCATAGTAATTTATAAGACTGTTACGCAGCAAATCAATTATTTATATTGCAGTTGGGTTTCAATCTATCGGATCAATAAAGATGCATATTAAAAGATTTAAAAGTGTCATATTGTTGATGGCCAAACAATGTTAAGTCTATGACAAGAAAAGCTTGAGTTACAATATGTTTGTTATCGCATTATTTCAAACATTTTTGACCTCTCGCGTTGAAGGGTTGAAATATAATTGATATCAGCCGTCAGAGAGGGCAGGGATGTGACCTTGCCGGTGACATCAGGAGGCCAAATACTATATTTATAATGTAAACAATTTTAATGCCACGCTGTCGAAAGTGCATGCAGTTGACCTGTCAAGTGTCGATAAAAAAGATTCTGATATCAGAATAGCTTTTTTATAGCTGCTCAAATCTATCTTAATGTTAAATGTATGGACTATGAGCGTTACGCATTATACTAACTTGTTTATAGTATGTCCATTGTCATGTGTCATTGTTAATTTTATTTTAGCCCATGTATTCTTTGGTGCTTGTGTTTCTCTTTGATGATAAGTAAAATGTCACTATCCAACATTCCTGTGGATTTGTTGTTTAATTAAATTTATCATACCTCTTGTGCCTTTCTGCTTAATTTGTAGATGTGTTTTGTATGTACAATTAGTTTAAATCATTTTTATGATTATGTCTTTTCACTAGATGGTTGAGCTGGTCCCAGGCAGTTCGGTATATATTCCTCGCCCGGACCTTGTTTCTTGTTTCAAACCTGGGAAGGTGAAGAAAGGTAGTGTGCAACATGGTTTGAGGACGGCTAGGCTGCTGATGTCAGTTTTCTTCAGCAGAGAAGAACTGGCTAACTGCACTCTAACTAGCTGTACTGAGGGGAAAAAGCAGCTGAATCCCAGGATAATTAAAGCTATAATAGGTAAATAACTTGTGACCTACTTTTATAGTCTGAGTGCATGTACACCCTTAAAGTAATGGAAACATGTTGGTTAAGAATCGTTTTTTTTTTTTTAATTAGCAAGTGTTGCAAGTGAAAGGTATAGTATTAACGACATATAATTTTTCTTAATCTGTTTGATTTATTGTATGTTTCAGACACCTGTTCGCAAAGCAGTCCAGCCACCCCAGGCAAACTGCGGCAGGCCATAGCCTGCAAAATTACAGCATTTTCCTGCAAAGCAAGAAAAACAAAAAGGTGTGTATATATGTACTCACTTTTAATAAAACAACTTAATGAAAGGCAGTGTTATAAAAGGTGGCTTTAAATATATTGGCTGCTATTATAGAAACAAAAAAAAAAAAAAAAAAAAAAAAAAACAATCAAACGTACTGGAATTGTGATTCCAATTGTTTTTATTTTATTTGTAGCAGCCCATGTGAAGACACAGAAGACAATGAATGGATGGGATATCTGCCATGAGAGAACAATAGGTGTGTGTTTTGAGCTGTTATCTAACCTTTATTCACAAAAAAAAATATTTTTCAACACTTAATGAAAGTCATAGTGGTAAAAGCTGTTATTTATAATCTTGATTGCTATTTCAGTTAAAGAATTCCCAGAAAAAAAAACAATCAACTTATCAGAACTTTTTTTTTACTTTTAGGACCAGATCAGATCACACTTATAAGGAGAAGGTTGATGTACCAAGAAAAATCATATTCACAATCTGTCTTTTTAAAGTGAAATTTTGTATAAAACAGTATTTAATAAACGATAAGAAACTTCAATCTGTCTTTTTTATGAGCAGTACACGAGCATTTTTTTCATGTACTCCAAATCTACCTCCGCGAAGCAGTACGCGAGCATGTTTTTTTTTTCATATACTCCAAATCTACTACTGCGAAGCAGAAGGCGAGTATTGCTCTCTTTCTCATATACTCCAAATTTACCTCAATTGGACCAGTACGCGAGCATTGTTTATTTCTCATATACTCCAAATCTACCACCGCGAAGCATAACGCGAGCATTTCTATCTTTCTCATATATACTCCAAATCTACTTCCGCGGAGCAGTACGCGAGAATTATTTATTTCTCATATACTCCAAATCTACCACCGCGAAGCATAACGCGAGCNGGAGCAGTACTCGAGCATACCTTTTTTTCATATACTACAGATCTACCTCCGAGCAGCAGCACGCGAGCATTGTTTATTTCTCATATACTCCAAAACTACTTCCGAGGAGCAGTACTCGAGCATACCTTTTTTTCATATACTACAGATCTACCTCCGAGCAGCAGCACGCGAGCATTGTTTATTTCTCATATACTCCAAATCTACCAACGCGAAGCATAACACGAGCATTGATTTTTCTCATATACTCCAAAACTACCTCTGCGGAGCAGTACTCGAGCATAATTTTTTCTCATATACTGAAAATCTATCTCCGCGAGCGTTGCTTTTTTCTCATATATATTTTAATATTTTTGCCGTGAGAATTATAATGTAAGAAGTAATTAAGACAGCGAACGATGTAAAATTATAACACATTCAAATAAAATATTTTTATATGCTCCAAATCTACCTCCGCAGAGCAGTGTGCGAGCATCATGCTTTTTGCTTTATACCTCAAATCTACCTCTGTTGAGTATCTTTGAAGTATCCGATGCGCATAATGCAGTGCAGCATAAACGTAATGCTTTATCTCTACTGCATCGGAGTAGATTTGGTAGCTAATTAGCATATTTGAAACACGCTTCAATCATGCTGCGAATCTACTGCATTAATGCTCCTCCGCTGTACAACCCTATGTAATTTTTGAAGTAGAATTGCAGTAGGCTCTACTGCATTTCTACTGCAAATATGCTCCACACCACTACTGCGTTAATGCTTCTTTGCTACTTCGATACTACTGCATTTTTGTGCGGGATTTCACCGGGATTTGTAATGAATCCATTGTCTTTTTCTAAAAGCATGAATTTTCACATGAAACATATATAGATAGATTTGTATTGCTGTAGCACCGGTACTATAGTAGTGTCCGCTTGACATAACCCAACCTTGTGCAGCTTTGTTTGCAATCTGTGCTGAAAAATGCACAGACAGTCATGTGATGAGAAAGACCAATATATGAGTTGTTCTTCGGTACATTTCCTTCCTGGGATGAATGTTAAGATCACCAACGTAACGACATTTACTACATTCTTGCCGTACGTAAATTGACAAGTGATATTCAAATCCATTGCAAGTGATATTCAAATTTTCAAATTTAGTGCAACTGCTAAAATTCCTGATTTAAAAGTAGATATGAGACCCCGCTGCTTCAAAGGCGCGTTGCAACTGAAGTGAAGATTACAAATTCAATAGCAAATCTGGTTATTATTTTGTTCCATATCCTTGTAGTACATGCATTATCAATAAGCAAGAGTTTAGTCATAGTTTTTCGCTTTTTATAAGCGTTTATCAATATTTGTTCTTTCATAGATAGTGACAGTTTTCCGACATCTCATTGGTATTTCTATTCGTTGTTCATATTTTTCAGGCGTAGCTTACCCATGGAAAAGTGTCTTATAACGTGGATTTTTCGTACGACGGTGTGTGTAGGCGCTCAAGAAAGCTGTGCTACTCCATCCGCGTTCTTCGTAAACTGGGGCCGGTTTCACAAAGCAGTAGTTAGTTAGAACAACTAACTACTGAACTACCTCGCTAACGAGCAAACTTAGCGATTTTCGAGGGGTGTTTCACGAAGCAGTAGTTAACTTATCGCTAAGTTCAGTCGTAAAGTTCGGTCGTTAGTTCTCTCGTTACTCACCGTAGTCTCGAAACCGTCTGCCGGAAGTGGAACTCTTGCGTAAAAGTGTCACGAAAGCACTAATTCTCCAATTTTTGGTGGCTGGAAATGCATCAGAACGTCTGCTTTGAGGTCGTTGTAAAGGATCTCCACCACCTTTTTGCCGCTCTTTTTGTCACAGCTAGGCGCAACCTCTCGTAAATTGCATCATCGTGTGTATATTCTAATAGATTCTGCCTTTTATGAAAACGTCGTAGTCTACGTTGCCGTCTGGCGGTACGGATAGCAAGAAAGGTAGCCGCCATATTGGATACAAAGACAAACGACAGACAACGGTAACTAAGCAACCTTTTTATTTCACTCATTACGCATGCGTACGATGAAACTCTAGAGTTAGCGACTGGTCTGACCAGTCGTTAAATATCCAAGGTAACAACGAGACAATAACGAGCGAGAGAACTAGCGACTACTTCGTGAAACGGCACTATAACTAGCGAGAGGCTAACTACCGATCGCTAACTAACTACTGCTTTGTGAAACCGGCCCCTGCTTTGTTTGAAAACAGCCGCAACAGCAGAAGAAGAAGGTGGCCAGTCCACCGAAGACAATGAGGGTGATCGCAGCACCATCGCTGACAACTCCCTGACACACCTTCAAAAGAAAAACTAATTTTCAAGGTGGCTTGTGGGAATATAGTCGGTAGAGTTAAATGCACACAATATGCGTTATTTCTTTACATAGCAAAAAGAGTATCATGACTTACATATTAGCTGCTTAAATGAATTGAAAGCGCCTTTTAAACGGTGAAATCACCAGTGAAAAACACTTCATGTATATTTTAAGGTTTGTTTAGTTCGGGCAATCTGAACTTGATAGCAAAAGCTGTTGAATTTCGATGCTCATTACACCTCATATGGGCAATGTTCTATACATCTAAATCTCTCTCCCATTGATCTTTTTTTATGTATGACACTGTACCTTGTTCTCCATGCGTTTATCGGCATTCAGACACAGTATGCCGAATGTCAGACCACAGACTGCTAGAGCTATGATTCCCAATAAATAACAGCAGGCACAACATCCACCTCTGTTTTCACCCATGTTTGAAATCAACTATTCACCGTGGATACAATTGAACTTTTCTATCTGTTCCAGAAAAAGGGACCAAGGACAAAAAGCAACACATATACATGTAGCTATAAACAGAGAGCATCTTGAGATAAGAGCAAACAATTAGTTCAGATTAACGGTATTGTTCTAAGGGCATGGTACAAATTCTACAAAAACCACTATTGTGACGTCATTTTTCACCTTGAACACAACTGAATTTATCTATCTGTTCCAGAAAAATGACAAAACGCAACGCACAAAAGCATCTTGAGATAAGAGCAAACAATTAGTTCAGATTAACGGTATTGTTTCAACGAGCATGGTACAGATTCTTAAAAACCACTATTGTGACGTCATTTTATAATCTATGTTATTCACATGCATAGATGTTTCTAACTGTAGACAAAATGTGGTAAAATACAAAATCAAAGATGCGTGTATTGCATAAGGCTTAGAAATAATAATAATCTTTATTGAGCAACTAAAATGTGTATATGTTACATTTTACAGGCTTTCTACACTAGTCATAACATCTTAATAACAATTATACAAATCTATACAAATACTTATGGAATGATTACTGGGAAGCAGCACAGAATAAAACGATTATTGCTATTGATGGGTTTGTCGTTTTTTCAAACTTTCAGTTATATATAGATGTAATGTTCTCAAGCACGATTCTCTTTTTGGACTGAGCAGGTACTGAATTTTTTCATCTGTTTTCTGCTCAGGAGGTATCATTAGTCCACTTCTTCTGTCACTATGTTCTTCACATTTCAGTAGGAAGTGGATTTCCGTTTCAATTTCATTTCAGTGGGTGCACTTGCGATAGGGGTTTTAGGGGACGTATAGCGGCCACGTTCAATTTTTAATTCGTGGTCACTAATCCGCATTTTTGCAATAGTCTTCATTTCTGATTGTGAGACTTTCATTAACAGATATTTTTCAGGGGTGTAAGTAAAGTAAGTTAAGTAATCTGTATGTCCTAAGTTTACTGTAGTTATCACTTTCCAGGTCTTGCCAAAATAGTTCCTCAATTTTATTGTTGATTGCATCTCTTAGGTTTTCAAAGTTAGGCCACACTTTTTTAATTTTATGGATGACATCCTGCGCGCGCACGGATTTTCGCCCGTTCTCCAAAAAAAAAAAAAAAAAAA